ATAATAATATAAAATACAAATGGATGCAATTCTAAAAAAATATGGCAATTGTTGCAAGCATATTACATTTCTCAAACTCAAATAACTTTCCAATGAGTTTTCAGAGGCTGTAAATTGCAGTGACGTTGGGGGTTGGGGGTGGGGGGAATAGCTCATCTTTCTCCCATGAAGCAGCTGGTGGATTTTAACCAGAGACTCTGGGGTTCGTGGTGTGACTCCTTGGGCCCACTAGGCCACCAGAGTTCCCCATGAGATACAGGGCCAGTCATGAATGCTTAGAAAAGTGGAAGGTCAGAGACAGATAGAAAGACCCCCCATTAGATAGATGGACATGGTGACCGCAGCCTTGTCCTGGAGTGGGTCAGAGAGGGTAAGGAAAGGATGGGACTCAGATCTGTGGGTCACAGGTGACTATCTGTCACATTTGATGGCAGTTAAACCTCTACGACTTGTGCTGTCCTCTAAGGAACTCGGCAGGCACAGAGGTTTATATAACAGGGTGGTAACCAGAAAGTTCAGCAGTTCGAACCCACCAGCTGCTCTGAAGGAGAAAACTGAGCTGGTCTGCAAAGATTCACAGCCTCGGAGATCCCATGGGGCAGTTCTGCTCTGCGATACAAGGTTGCTCGAGTCAGACACCAATGAATCCCAGCTGGTGACACTGTATCTCACACCTGGTCCACTCTGAGAGGCCTGCCTTCCCTCCACACTGTGTGTGTGCACAGTGACACACAGAGGCTACTAGAGAGATACTCTGTATCTAGACTCTCAGGAGAGGCTACTAGAGAGATACTCTGTATCTAGACTCTCAGGAGAGGCTACTAGAGAGATACTATGTATCTAGACTCTCAGGAGCCCTGCTGCACAGGGTGGACACACTCAGCTGTAACCACAAGTTCAGGGGTATGAACCCACCAGCTGCTCCCAGGGAGAAAGCGGAGGCCGTCTGCTTCTGGAAAGATTCACAGCCTCAGAGACCCTATGGGGCAGCTCTGCTATCACACCTTTATCTTCAAGCAGAGGAGTATGTCAATCACACGCCCTCAACGGAAACCCTGGCTCGTGTGCATTTCATGTCTCTGGGCGGGGGACCAGGTTTTATCTCTGCTTCTGATAAGACATGACTCATTGCCAGGCTTGTCTCCAGTGAGCTCTGCATTTTGCTATCAGAAGCTATCATCTGTGAGGGGGTAAGTTGTTACATAACGGATTCTCCCCTCCCCTGTGAAGCCGGGAGAGAGATGAGAAGGTGTCTGTCTATCTGCATCCACATGCATGTCAGCTGGCCATGACGCATGGGTCCCACCCTGTGAGGGTGTGTGAGGCTGCAGCCTGGGGCTTCCTGAAGATGGCCTTTTCAGAAGCAGGACTTCTATCTCTAAATCCTTCCCCCTTTGATCATCTGCTTTTATCCCACATCCTCACACTCCAATCCCTCTCTCCTTCTCCACCCTGTTTCCCATTGCCTTCTCTCAAGGCAATTTTATTATTATTATTTTGTGTGTGTGTGTGTGTGTACAGTCAAATCAGATCTGACTGGTCCAGGAGGAGACTGTCCCTCCTTCTCCAGCAAAGCACCTGGTGGATTTGAACTGCATACCTCTGGGATTGCAGTACAGGTTCTTGCCACTAGGCCACCAGAGCTTGCTACTTAAGGCAATTTTGACAAAATGCTTCATTGAAAAAGAAAGAGAGAGAAAGAAAGGAAGAAAGCAAGCAAGAAAGCAAGAAAGAAAGAAAGAAAGGAAGGAAGAAAGGGAGAGAAAGTGAAGAAGAAAGAAAGAAAGAAGAGAGACTGAGAGAAAGAAAGAGAGAGAAAGTGAAGAAGGAAGGAAGGAAGGAAGGAAGGAAGAAAGAAAGAAAGAGAGAGAGAGAAAGAGAGAGAGAGAGAGAAAGAAAGAAAGAAAGAAAGAAAGAAAGAAAGAAAGAAAGAAAGAAAGAAAGAAAGAAAGAAAGAGAAAGAAAGATGGAAAGAAAGAAGGAAGGAAGGAAGGAAGGAGAGAGAAGGAGGGGTGGAGAGAGAGAGAGAGAAGGAAAGAAGGAAAAGAAAAGTCAACAATTGCAACAAAGAATGAATGGAAATCCAAAGTCTCTGTAAACTTCCATTAAAATAAAAAATGTTGTTGTTTAATGCTGTTGAGTCACAGGCTACTCATAGCAACCCTACTAATCAAAGTCCTGACACCTGTATAACTTTTGTCCTTTCTCCAGGTTTATAGGGTTTCCGGAACAAGTTGTTATGGAAGTGGATGCCACTCCTCCTTCCAAGCTTGTTTTAATTAGGAGATCCACCAAACACTGTCCACCATGGGTGACCTTTCTCGCATTAGACACATCAGTGGCACAGTGTTCGGCTTCACAGCAACCACGAGTGACCTCTGTACAGCAAGTGGACAGACCAGGGTTAAACAACCTAGAAGAATGTTTCACCAAAAACAATTAAAGTCAGGCCTGAGGGAAGTAGTCACTTACCTTTGGCTTGGGTGCATGGCTTTCTGTCCATGAGGCCAGTTGATTTCTCCTTCTCCTTCTCCTCCTCCACCTCCTCCTCCTTCTTCTTTTCTCTCTCTCTCTCTCTCTCCCTCTCTCTCTCCTGTTGTTGTTCAGTGCCGTCGAGTTGCAAGCGACTCATAGTCACCCTACGAATGGAAGTCCTGGACACCTGGAGAAAGGAAGAGAAATAAAAAATAAAATTAAAAAATTCAACGTGACCCATCTATTCCATTGCTTGATTACACCTTGAGAAAATGAGAATTGAGGCACAGAGACTTGAACACACTAACACTCATTGCAGCTTTATTCACCATTGCAAGAGCATGGAAACAGCCCAGATGTCCTTCCACAATGGAATGGATTAAGAAATGATGACAATGGAATGGATTAAGAAACGATGATACATTCACACGATGGAATACTACGCAGCATGCAGGAGCAATGACTTTGTTAATTACTGCCAAACTTGTCAGGGACTGGAGAGCATTATGCAGAGTGAACTAACTCAGTCCTTTAAGGATAAATATTAAGACCGTTATTGTAGAATGAGGATGGGAATCCAAAGGGGGGAGTCGTGAGGATTGGCAGGACAGTGGTATTAATCATACGGTGGCATAATTCGATGGATGGAGGGGGCTGAAGTGAAGTGGGGAAGAGCTGGTATGAAAAACAATGTATGTGAGCTTTGTTATTATATTAAAATTATAGACTATATTATTTATA